TTAAGTTAAGTAATTGGAGTTAAGTTAAACTAACGTAGGTTATTCTTATTCTAAGATTAACTTGGCTTGTTCCATAAGCTTCCATACATATAACTAGAGTTGATTAACTTAAATACAAGATAACTAATCTTGGTTACATTTAACTAAGGTTAGTCTAATTTGTACCATAAGTCAATGAAACTCTATATATAGATTCTCCATGTACTTGGTCGAATCACTTTTGATGATATATGAGAATGAACATTTGAGCTTTCTCTTTTAAAAATCTTAGTTCTCTTCTTTTGAGATTTTTTATCAAGGAATTCCTCCTTGTAATAAGATCATCACCTCTTGCTTATCTTTCTTTCAAGGAAAGCTAAATCTCTCCATCATTTTTGGTTTTTAAAGCTTGTTTCATCCATGGAGGAAGATTAGGCACATCAAGGAGACTAGTAGAGGGAATCATCAATCATATACCCAATAGTTTTCATCAATTTATTCATACAAATTTTAAATATAGTTTATATATTTTAATTTAATATTTATTTTTATATATAATTATTATAAAATTTAGTTATATATAATAGATTGCTTGGAGTTGAGATAAGGGAAGCTAAGAATGTCTTATTGATGGATTATTGAGTAGAATGTTGTTTGTTTTTATCAATAATGTGTTAAGGTGTTTGATTCTCAGATTGTAAGATGAGATTGTTAGGTTGTGGTGCTTTGAAACATGTTTGAGTTAATAGTATGTTTTAACCCAATTGTATGTTGCATGTTGTTTTTGAGGCCAAAAATGAGTTGATCATGTTGAATATATATAGAATGTTGCTTTGTATGCATGGATTTTGTTGAATTTCAAGTGGATGAGGCAAATTCGTGAGTTTGCTATGTGCACATCATTACATTGGGCCATCTTTCATGGTGTCGAGTATGGTCTCAATCAAAGGTATTATGTCTTGCTCACGTTAGATGCATGATTGGTGGCATCGAGTGTGAGGAGAGACAATTGCCTCGGGTTGAACTGGAAATAAGCATGATTTGAATGCAGTCAAGTGTGAGGTGAGAAAATTAACTCTACTTGGATTGGCATCAAGCGCCAAAAGAGTGACGTCAAGCATGAGGAGAGAGAATCATTTCGAGTTGATTTGGGGGTCGAGTGTGGGACCTTGCCATGTTAGGCATGAGGGCTTAGGGGGCCTCCACCTAATCCACGTCGAACGCAGGTTGTATGGAAACAGGCATGTGCAAGGTAGAAAGCTTCCTACATTGATGGTGTCAAGCATTGGATGTGTGACATCGGGTGCAAGTTGCTTAATGATATTTTGTTTCTTGATGAATTAAATGGTGAACATGGATAAGTTAAGTGAATTTATTGCTTGTTGTATGTTGATTGGTGATAATTGTTCTATATATGTTGATTAGGGATAACATATATGAATTGTATGGTTGGATTGTTAAGATGCATTGATATGTCATAAATTGATTTCCATTGATAGGTTTTGATAAGTGTCTAATTAGTCTGATGAAATATAAATTTGAGACACTTATCTAGCACAATTTTTGTATATATTGATATAATTTTGGCCAATACACTTAGAATCAAAAAGGGGCTCTTAATTGAAGTCATTATACGAAGTGATGATTTTTCTTATCAAAATTTCCCTTTATTTTGCAGATTTTGAAGATTGAAACAAGAAAAGAAGTCTAGAGGCAAACGGTTCAGCCATTCTAAAGGGCTGAGCGATTTCAAGCCAGAGAGCTTAACAAGTGCAACAGAGGAGAGGCGCTTAGCCGTCCCTAAGCACTAAGCGGTTTTGACCTTGGAAAAATGAGTACTCTCTGCCTCCTAGGCGCTCAGCGGATTTCAAGCGCTCAACCCCTTTGCTTGCTTAAGGATGAAGGAGTCTCCCAGGCGCTCAGCCGTTAAAAAGGGCTCATCCCTTTGGGTTACTTCATGATGAAGGGTTCTCCAATCCGCTTAGCTGTTTCCAAGTGCTGAGCAGTTTCTTCTCTTTCTTGCCTACTCTATTTTAATTCCAACAACTATAAAAGGGGCAGAGGAGAGAAATATATATATATATATATATATATATATGAATCAAGAAGGAATACGCAGGAGTTTGATGACTACATCAATCCCAACCCTAGAGCTTTAGCTCTCTATAGAATAAGAAAGCACAAAATAACAAGAAGAAACGTAGAAGAACAAGATTATCTGAAGAAGTCTCATCTAAAAAGAAGTAAAATTGAGACTTAACATGTAGTATGAAGCTAATAGTTTTAAAAAATAATTTTAAAAAATAAATTATAAATAGACTTAAATATATTTTTAGACATAAATTGAACAAATTTTTTATTTTAATAATGGTAAGAAAATACTTTTATGAATTTATCCCTCCAAAACTTGGAATCATTAGTTTTGTTCCCTCCTAATGATATACACTAAAATCAATCATTCTAAATTTTAAAGAAATAAAAAACAAAATCTTTTTCTAAAAAAAGAAATTAAAATTAAAACTTTCTTATTTTATAAAAATTAAAAACACATTTAGTTCAATTAAACACAAACCAATGCTATGCCTAGTCAAGGTCAAGTTGTACATATCTTTTTGGTGATGCTAAAACAATATCTTAAAATAAAACATGTCATTTTTAATAAGTAATAAAAATAACTTTTAATCAAACAATGATGTCATTTTAGAGAACATTAAAACGACTTCTTTATCAAGTGGTGCATATCATATAAGTGAGTAATAAGACAACCTCTTAATCAAGCAAAACATGTCTCAATTGAATAATAAAGTAACCTCTTGATCAAGCAGTACATATCCTTTCTGTGAGTAAGAAAGTAATTTCTTAGTCAAGAAGTGTATGTCATTTTGGTGAGTATAAAACAACCTCTTAATCAAGCAATGCATGTCGTATCAGTTAGTAATAAAACAACCTCCTAGCCAAGTAATGTATGTCTATTCAATGAGTAAAAAATGTAATTTCTTTGTTAATGAGTGCATGTCATTTTGGTGAATATTAAAACAACTTCCTAATCAAACACTACATAACTACATGTCGTATCAGTGAGTAATAAAGCAATTAATCTCCTAGTCAAACAGTGCATGTATTTTCAGTATGTAATAAAGCAACCTTTTAATCAAGCGTTGTATGTCATTTTGTTGAGTAATAAAACATTCTTTCAATCAAGCAGTGCACACTATTTCAATGAGTTAATAAAGCAAACCCTTATGTCAAAAATAAATAAATAAATAAAGTAATCTCTTAGTCAAGCGATACATGTCTTTTTGGTGAGTGATAAAGCAATCACTTATATAATTAAATTCAAGTGGTGCATACCATTTTGTTGGATAATAAAGTTATCTCTTAATAAGTAATGCATGTTATTTCAATAAGTAATAAAACAACCTCTAATTTAAATCCTGGACACCATTTTCGTGAATAATAAAATAATCTTTTAATCAAACAGTACATGTCGTTTGAAGTAATAATATACAATGTAAAAAAACGATAAAAAAAAAATCGATATACAAATAGAATAGATACACAAATAAACACCTTTCAATAAATTATTTAAGAAGATAAATTAGATAAAATTTAATCTATTAAAAAGTTCAAAACATAAACAATATCTTACTACTTCCAATTTATTTTTCTCAATTTAAAATAATTTTATTTACTTAATCAAACATCCTAAATTTAAATCCAACATAATTTAACTAAAACCAACTTGATTTCACGAATAAATCAAACATGCACTAAAACAATAAAAGGACTACAAATTTATTATATTAGGATGACGCAAAGCGAAAAAGATAGCCCGCTTTTTGCGCTGGCAAAAACTGAACTTTGGGACCACCTTACCCAAGTCTATGTTTAGACCAGAGATGAAATTTAAGAGAAGATAAAATAAGACCAGGAAAAGAATAGAAGTATATAATACACAAAATTTTACTTATTTATTTATTTATATAAATAAAATTATAAATATAAGTAAATTATATAATAAACGTTGTAATGATACAAATTAATTTAATGAAAAATATAAAATAAAATTACTATAAGATTTTTCTTATTTTTTTTTACTTTCATATTAAACTAAAAGTTACTATATATAAAAATATTAAAAACTACTAATAAAATAAAAATTCACGTTTTCCTCACTAATTCCCTTGAGTTCATTTAGCTCATTTTTCTCCTCTTTTACCTGTCTTGCAATTAGATGAGGGGAATATTCCCATTTTCCTATCTTTGATTTAATTATCTTTTTCTTCCACTTGTCTCCCGTTATCAAAGTAAACCATTTGTATAATACTTATGTGATTTTTTAATTATTTTTAGTTGCTTTTTAAGTAAAAAACTATTCCTATTTATTTCTCATTTTTAAATTTAACACAATATTAATTATCGTTGTATTAATTATATTCTCATCTCCCACTTAACTTTAACTAATTTTTACATTAATAACTAATATAAATTTATTACATAACAAAAATGAAAGCAAATATAATAAAAAAATATTACAATTATTTTATAAAAAATAAATAAATTTATTGAATTTTATTAATTTATATATAACAATTATAAATAACTATTAAAAAGGAATGAAGGTAATATTCACTTTTAACATATAATTTTTTCTCTTAATTACTAAACATGATATCCATATTATGTTCAAACTTTATTAATAAAAATATTTTGTTAAAATAAGAGATGAACTAAAAATCAATCAAATTCCTTAATAGAAACTAATAATTAATAAATCAAGTAAATAGAATATTTTTTAATTATAATATAGGTAAAAAAATATTGATTGTCAGAAGTGATAATTAATTTTAATTGGTGATCATAAACACACATCACATAAAGTAAGTAAATATTTTGTTCTTAACGTATGATATTTCATGTTTAAGTCCAAAATTGAAAGCATAGTTATAATATATATATATTTTTTTTTTAATTAGAAAAATATGGTGATTGCGGCACTTGTAGTGAGTCCGGTGTCTATAAATATGGTATAGGAGAGGCTCTGAAGACACAACAGTCTTGTATTTGTGGTGGCTCAAACACAAGAAATGACGGAGAAGGAGGCACCATCTTCTCCAACCTTGGCCCATTATTACTCTCACTCTTCCCAGTCATTCCCTCTCATTTCCGCCAGAGATAATCCTAACCACAACCTCACTCCCCAAAACCACGACGTTGACGTAGACGACGACTTCGAATTCTCCTTCTCCACCAACCTCCCCGGCTTCTCCCCCGTCTCCGCCGAAGACATTTTCCTCAACGGCCAAATCAAACCCACCAGCCCTCTCCTCCACCAAAACGCCCTCGTCCACGCTCCCGCCGAAGCACCCAGACGCTTGCCTCTCAGGAAGCTCATGCTGGAGGAGCGACCCACCACGGTCACCGTCGTCAACGACCTCGACGGCATTGATGCCGGATCCTACTGCGTGTGGACCCCACAGCACAAGAAGAAAACCTCCGCGTCAAAGCGCTGGAAGTTTCGGAACCTTCTGCCGCGGAGTCACCGCGGGGATGGCAGGAAGTGGGGCTCCTTCGCCGACAACGGTGGCGCCGCCGCGAAGTTTGTTGGGTTTTTCAGTAACGGCAATGGACTCGGTCGGAGTAATTTGCGACCAAGGACAAAATAGAGTGATCTGGATTCTGGATGGATGATGATGACATGTTTTTTCTTCTTTTGGTAATTTCTCCTTAGTTTAATTCGGATTAATTAGTGGACACACAAGTACTGGTATATGGACTATGGATGTTTTCTTTCTTAGTAAAGTTATATATTATAAAAGGTATTCATTGAATGGGAAAGACATGAGTGAGAAAATATGTTGAATAACGATTGAGAATTAATTATTTATTAAATAAGTTTTGTATTGGAAAATGCAACTACGGATACGGAGGCGGGGGAGGTTGCATCTGCATGGTTAGGACTTAGGAGGGTATGTGTTGATGAGATTAGGAGAAAGTGTTTGTGTTTATGTTTGGAACACAAGAGTTAAACAGTGGTGTGGGTCTCACACGGCATAGACTTTGGTGATGTTAGTGACAAAGTTAAAGTAATTTCATGGACGTTGTTAGTGCTTAGTACTTAGTGGTAGTAGTAACAGGAGAAAGTGAGGATATATTCAAGTTATTACCAGAGCAGGGAGAGGCATGGAGTGAGATGAAATTGTTGCCAAGTTGGTTTATGCGTTTCTTTTCTAATTAATTAATATCTTGAGGGAACAAGACTTGATTAAAGGAAAATGAAACGTCTTCTACGAAAAGGATATGATGGTCAAATATCCACTAACTTCCAAATCTAAACTGAGATGTTACGATGGGTTCCACCCCAACTTAGCCAATGGTAATCTGCACAACAGTTACCTTCCTCATAGTCGTAGGAATTAGTATTGAAAATCGTAGAGTTTGATTAATTTAAGCAGGGGGAGTTACTCATTTCTGTGGGGCTAATTAAATTTCTAAAGTTCCGTTCTTACATATACATTTTTATTACAACATAAGGAGTATTTTTTTATAGTATTTTCAACTTATAGATTATTATATATACTGATTTTTTCATTTTTATAATAATTATTTTAAAAGTTATACTGTATTTAGGATAGTTTTATATCGGTCTGAATATTATAATCTGACAACTTATAAATATTAGATACAGAAAACTTTTGCATAACTTTAAATAAATTATAATCTTAAATGTTATAAATAAATTAGATGCATTATGTACTAGCCATAAATTCATTGTTAAATCGGTGATTTATTTTTATGTAAAATTTTATAGTTAGATACTTTAGTGATTAATACATTAGATTTTTTTTTATGTGTGGTGATCTTTGAGAAAGGACTATTAGAGAAATTATTCTCACAGAATAATAGACTATATTTTGTGCTACTAACAGACTAAAGGAAGGCAACACAACAAAGTTTAATATTGTTGACAATGAGTGTTCTAAAATTTTTTGTTCAATAATATCCTCTAATGTACACAATTATAACGAAGTACATTTCAAAAAAAATATTCTATTTTAACTTCTGAGTTATATATATATATATATTTGAACAACATTGATAGGCCAATGTGTGCAATCCTATTTGGATGTTTTCTATCGAACATTCTATAAAATACTTTTAAATATTAGTTTCTGCATAATTTATTTTATCTACATCAATTTCTGTTGTTACGAAATGACTAAATTGTTATACATTATACTTTTATGATTATGATTTCAGTCGTGAATTGACACTACATCAATTTAAAATGATTCGTGACAGTGTATTATGATACTATCAAGCAAGTTTCATCCAACATATATATATGTTGTATTTTTATTTCGTTTATAATATTATCTTTACTATTTTATTTTTCCATTTTTTAAGCTTAAGGAATATGCAACATTTATTTTTGTTTCAACTCTTCATTTCATAAATTTATGACTTAAGAATGATCTCTTTTTCATTTATTTATTTTTTCAACAATTTTATATTTACTTTTTAGAAGGTTTTTTTTATTATATTGTTCTTTCAACTAATTTACTTCGTGCATTACACATATCCATGCACTAGTTTAAATTATTACCGAATGAAAATTAAATTTATATATATGAGTTAATGTTTTTAAATTTAATTATACTTTTTATTTTACGATAATTAATGTTTTATTTGGTTAATAAATGGTATTTTTGTTTGAATTAGTTCCTTAAATTTTTGAATCGTTAAAAAAATCTATTCCCGCCCTCAAATTTTCATGAATTAAACTGCTCAAAATTTCACGTATTAAAGCATTACATTTCTCCTAAAATTAAGAAATTCTCCTTGTTTGCCTTTTATTTTTTTCATAATTCTACAACAAATTTTCTAATTAAATTTTAAAATTATAAATTTCCTATATCAGTTGTATCATAAACTCTCAATAACTTAAATAGAAAATAAGAAATACGAAAAACCGAACAGATGCATTTACTATTAATTAAAAACTAAGAGGATTAAATTTCAGAAAAATTAATCAGAGAACAAAAATATAGCACTTTATTATCATTGTAGAAGGATAAAGTATATATTAGGCCATTAATTCCGCCACTGAATTCAAGAATTCTAATTCTTCTAAAACTGGATGTCGATGTGACCGAAGGAGGGGTGGACATAATGAAGGTTTATTAACTGTTTCGGAGTCACTTTCACCAACATGTTTATTAGTAGTAATACTTTGACCCCAAGTCAATGGCAATCCATTTAAGATTCCTAAGTTCTGCCGTGATAAAGATCCAAGGAGGAGCCATTGCAATTGGCCCGAGTAACCACTAACCAACACAACTTTCATCAATCGCTTAAGGAACTACAATTAATTTCAGTCGCAGCGAACTTGTAGGAAGTTGTATTAGGGTTTAGGATTTGCATATCAGTTAGAATAGTATTGAATGAAAGTCTTGCACTTTACAATCCATAAACAAGAAAAAACTATGTGAGTGATAGATTGAGTTGAAAGTGAATTCAATTGAACAGAAACGTAGTTCAAATACACACTTAAGTGTTAGGAATTCTCTGAGCCCTACCTTTCAAAGGGTAATGTGAAAATTTATTTTGTTAAATTTGAAAAAAAAATGTAAAGATAAATTTTCATAATGATGCTAACAATAATTATATTTTAGTTGTGAAATAATTAGAATCAATTACTACTCTGGATTCTTTTTGGTAAATTAATAATTTTGGGCTTTCTACTTAAAGATATGAATCAAATATTAAAATCGATCTCAGTTCAATTATTTTAATCAAGATTTGAATCAATGAGTAAGATGTAATATTCAATTAGTTTAAATTGAATTTGATAATGACTTTAACTTTGTTTTTTTTTTATTATAATAAAAATGGGTATTTATACTTGAACATAAAACATTAAACTTTAAGACTTTTGAAATGTAAATCGAATCTTATAAGCAAATTCGATATTTGGACTGGAATTTTGAAGATAAATGCCTAACTTTAAATGGTTGGCTTGAATTTAACTAAAATAATGAAATTTCGGAAGATTAAGTGATGGAACTGTAAGCTAGAAATAAACTGCAAATAAAATTCAAATATTAAGCTTATTTGAAATGTAAATTAAAAAATAGAAATGAAAGATTAAAAGGGATAGAAAAAAAAGAAGGGAAAAGATAATGGAATAAAATGCATGAAATGTAAATTAAAAGATAAAGGTAAAAGAAAAGGAAAAAGAATACAAACAGAAAGAAATTCAAAAGAGTTAAATGAAAGATAAGTAGAGATCGAGAAAATAGATGGAAAAAGAAAGGGAAGGGCAAATTGTAAATATTTAAATTAAATTTGGGTAAACATAGACACATTGCTCTTAGAATCGATAGTCATTAATTGATGTGTAACATGTAGGTGTTACAAAATTTTAGAAGGCTTTTATTAGAAATGTTTGTTTCCTATGATTTATTATTTGTAAAATAATATACTCATGGAGTATTGTTTCTCGAAAATCTGTTTTATTTATGATTCAATCAAATTGTTTCTATGCATGAGGTAGGAATTTAATTTTTTTGAGTTGAGAAAAAAGTTTTACTATAATACAAAAAAATATCATGCTTGGTTAATCGAATCTTTATATTCTTTTTTCATTTTTAATCAAATATGATAAATACTTAAAGTTTACTACAAAAAATGTTACATATAATAACATACAAAAAGTGTCACTATAAGTATAATATATGTAAGTATATATTTATTTGACATATAGTTACATATAATTTTAGTGTTGATTTTGAATGAGATTTAACAACATATTTTATGTGTCTATAACTTTGACCCATACTTTTTAATAATATATCAACATATATTATATTTATTGTATGAATAAAAATAATTTTTAGTAATACGTATTTGTCATTATAGAGTATATGGTATTATTATATGACAATTTTTTTGTAGTGGTTCTATTAAAATTAAACATTCAAATATTTAATTATTAAAAAAGAGTTAATCATCAATACACTGCCAGTGTAAAGTTTTTTTACATTGGCAACCAATAAGATCTTTTAAATTATTTTATTTTATTTTTATTTCATTAAATAAGCAACTGACCTGTCACTATTAAAAGATCTGATTGGTTGTCATTGTAAAAGAACTTTACACTAGCAGTATATAGGTGATTAACTCATTAAAAAAAATATAAATATTATAAAAATATTTATAACTAATTAAATAAATTTAAATAATTTTTTATAGTGAAATTTTAATTATTCTTAAGAATTATTGTGTTTTAGGAAATATGATTCATGGACATGAAAAAAAATTATACCAAATTCATCTTTGGTGTAATGAGTTTTAAAGATAGAGTTAGTTAATGGTGAGTGAGACCTAAAAACAAATTTTGAAATGAACTCTTTGTACTTTAAGTAAGAATTATATGTTCAACGTATTTGCTAACAAATGTGACATTTTTAGTAGTCTAACAGTTACATATGTTACATAAAACTTCTACAAAGTTTCATATTTATAGATTTTTTACTATTTATAGATTTTTTACTCTAACGGTTGAGAAATATAGTACATATACATGCATGTACAAGATCCTGTGATTCTATGTTGAATAAGATTTGTCTCTATATGAATGATTTCAAGAACTACATATGATTGCCACATGATGTGGTATTGTCAAAATACTACACTAAAATTTCTTGACGTCTTCGGTGCTTTGACAATTAGCAATTTTTTCTTCAGTTGCTTGACTATTTGATCTCAATTTCGAACTCAAACTGGGCATTCCTCGAAATATTGGTAACTCGAACTCAATAACTTATAAAAGAAATCTAGTTCTAAGTAATATGGTCCTTCAAGGAACCAAAATTTGACAATTCGGAAGAATTATAAACG